CAGCCCTTCTCCAACTGCATCGCATTCGATTTGCAATTTCAGATAACACAGAACAACAACAGCAAAGACACGAGCAAAAAGCAGAACTCAGAAGGCTCCAACCAGACTGGTTATGCTAAGCTCTCAAATACTCTGTAATAAATTAAAAAAAAAACTATTTAACAACGTTCAACAACATTGCTAACTGGGGCAATAAGTATTTGTACATTGAAGTGCATTCAAAAACTGTTACAGCTGGCAGAGAAAATTCAATATTTATAAATATGTAAATTAAGATCTTTGCGTCCTGCAATCTATGTTAAAAAGTTCTATGAATGTGGGCTGAAAAGTGATTGGAAAATTTAAATTGAAGCAATACGTTTAAAAATCAGCAAAAAATATCTAAAATTTATAAATCACATGTCTATTCATACTTAACTCCAAAAATGATTGAAAATTGTACACAAATATTTTTATTAATATTTATAAATCGCTGTGAGTATAAATAGTCTATATCTCACTATATCTTATGCCTCCTCTAGTCCTTGCTGCATCCTATTCCGCGCCTTTTTATTTCTCAATTCATAGACACAAAAATTCGTCCAAGCAACATTGTTCGTTGCAGCGCCTAACCTAGAAAATCAACCTTAATTAAATTTGTCATATCTGAGGTTTTTAATCAAACAAATGCTTCATGTTGTATGCTAAATTTGTGAGCTTGTGCTACTCGGAGGGGTCTGTGTCGCGGGCGCTGCGCTAATGTCAGCGACGACATGACAACAAAATGTGACCAGAGCGGAAAAAACGAAATCTATGTTAGAACACAGGCGATTAAAATCGTTTTAGCCCCCGTGGAACACACCTAATTGCTGGACAAGCATCAGACAGCTAATTGAAAAGCCGCCCGGTTTCATGTTTCTAGCCTTTATTTTTAGCTTTTTTTTTTTCATTTTTTTGCTCTTGCACTTCAAGGCCCTCTTGACTAATTTTCTGCTCTCAGCTTTTATTTTTTTGTGCTCTATTCTGTTCTGTGCACAATTATTTCAATTTTATATTATTTATTTGCTGTGGGGTGTGGCCAAGAAGTGGGCGACACGTTTTACTACAGCAGCTGGCCGGCAGCAGTTGCTGAGCTCGACTAGAACTGTGGGCGGTTGCACACGCCTCGTTTTATGGCAATCAAATGCGTTGTTTAATTCGAATTGACTTTTTGAACCTGACGTGAACGTGTCGCCAGTGGAGTCAGTATTGCAAGTGGGGCACGTGCCCCCAACTCTGGCGACAATAATTGTGAATGACTTAATGTGCAAGGTTTTGATTCAATTGTCTAATGCCACCCTGGAATTTTATCGAAGAAGAAGTCTTGCAAAAAACCAAAATATTTAAGAAAATGCCAGAAGTTATTAAGAGTCTTAAACCTCTCAAAGCTTAATCCGCTTGTGGCCTAATAGGTTAATATCACAGATAAATTAAACTACTAATTATCTGAATATTGAATATGAATCGTTCTTCAGACTAGCCTAGCCCTTTAAATTTTAAGTTAATTGAGATATCTTGCAAATTTCAATAGATGCTGAATTACAGTTACTGGAAATTGAACCAGTCATGTCTGATCATGGATCACATGCATTCAGATGCTGACTTTATGTGGCAGAGTTCTGTATCTGCTCATGCTGCATGAAGTCACATATGAATTACATATTGAAATTTTCTGTATTACAATTGGTTTTCCCTAAAATGTTTAGTTTTATTCTATGAGATTCTAAGGCTTGTTTTATCCAAGAGAACTAGGGAATTTCAGTGAGAACATAAGGGAGCAATAATTATAGGAAAAGGAAGTGGCCAAAAAATATGTTGAGAGATTATTTTGTCACCATTTTCCAGGCAATTTAGCTCACTGTCTACGTACTGCAGCCGAAAAGTCTGTCAGACAAAAACGCTCAGAACACACCAATCTACCTCACCCGATTTTTAAATAAAATATATAAAAGATCACTTTTAAACTTCCCTGTAGTTACATCCAATATCTCCTTGCACTCCACTAGCTTTTAATTCTGTGATAGCCCTTTTAAATTCTCTTAATAAAATATTGCCGAGATAAGTTGCCTAAAAGTTACCAGGGAACTTACCTGTAAAGAAGATTATAATACAAAAAATATATATATTTATGTTTTTATGGAAATAGATAAATCAGTTGCACCAGTCAATGTTTCTGTAAAAAAAGATAGAGTATAATAAAAAAATATATTAATGTTTTTATGGAAATAAATAAATGAATTGCAGCAATCAAGGTTCTCATTTCTGTGCTTTGAAGAGCTTTTAGATTACAAAATATATTGAATGAATATTCAGTTTTACTCAATGAATTGCAGCAATCAAGGTTCTCATTTCTGTGCTTTGAAGAGCTTTTAGATTACAAAATATATTGAATGAATATTCAGTTTTACTCAATTATTTTTATTCAAAAATTGTATTTCGCATTTACGGAACGTAAAATAATTTCAATAAAAATAATTTCAAATATAAATAGAATATGTAGCTGGAGTTTATTTACACAACGATATTGAATGCATTCGTCTATTTGCAATTGTTTTGAAGCACTTTGAGCGCATCTCAAACATAACGAAAATGTTATAAATTGTTGAAAGTTTGCAATTGATAGTTGTATCATAAACTAACGCCGGCTCGCTTTTAAAACTATTCCCCAACATTCGCAAAAAAACAAAAGGCCGGTGCTGAAGGCCCCACGCTCGCCCTGCAACAGCCCAGCTCTGCCCTCTAAGCAAACGCCCTGCGGATGCGGACATGTAAACAAATGCGATTCGGAGGCGGTTCGGACACAAGGCAGGCAAGCAAAACAAGTTGCATTGATGAGATCGAGGAACGAAGGGGCGGGCGGGGCCGCAGCGATTTGTGAAGTGCAGTTTTGGGTGTAGCATGGGAGGGAAGGAGGATAGGACTATGCCAAACTTTGTGGCATAAACTTTTAATGAGTTCTTTTTATATTTGCGATTTGCATGGCCACGCCCCCCATTTGTCACACAAATGAAATCTGCTAGAGCGAAATTGCATTAAAGTTGCTAGCGCTGTTGTTGCTGTGGTTGTTGTTGTTGCTGTTGTTGCTGGCACTTGTAAATTATTCGCCCGCCCGTGGCCCACTTCAATGACATTGCCTACAACAGCAGCAAAGTTTCGGTCAAAGCAGCCACGCCCCTCAGCCCCCACCCATTCGCCGGCTCAATGATGAGCGCAAAACAAAAATTGAGAAATAAAATAAATAAATATGCCTGGGCGCAAAAACTTTTAAATTGAAAATGCGCTTTGAATATTTCAGCGCTTTGCAGTTCGCAATTCGCAATTCGCATTTCGCAGCACTTCCGGTCCGCCATCTTGTGCGCCATTGCACTTGGCTAACTGCTAACTGTACTTGTCCTCATCTTTCGCAAAAGGCGAAAATAATTTGAAATTTTAATTAAAAGTATTTTTGGCAAAAGTTGCCCCGCTGCCAGACAGCGGGTCTCCGCTTTCTATCGCCAGACGCAAATACGACAAAATCCAAAACATAGCAAACATAGCCCAGAAAAAGGAGAAGAAAATAATAAGAAATTGAAGTAAAATTCCACAAAAAGAGGGGGAAAACTATTTCCGGGCTCCCTTCACTTCATGCTCAACATCTCGGCTTCAATTTGAATATTGCCGCCAAAGGCAAGAATTGCGCACTTCAACAAAATCCGGACATGTTGCAGCTCGTAATTGTTGTTCGCAATGCGTATCAGTGTATGTGGTTGTGTGTGTGTTTGATTGGCCTTTAGCTTGCGTACACAACTATTGTGATAATCTCATTATTGCATTTTAATTAAAAAATAATTCAATTTCATATTATATTTGGATTTAATGTAAAAAACATTGAAACACTTTAATCAGAGAAAAGTGTCTGAAAATGTGAAATTATTAAATTATGCAAGCATCCTAAGAGTCCAGAACCAACAGCGACTTCTGGGCTTCGACGTTCTATTAGTTTAATTTTTATGGCTGTGCTTAGAAAAGTCGACATCAAATTAAGTGGGTTAAGTTTCATTAAGTCTATGAAAAAACTATATATGCTTCAAGAGATTCCTATTCTTTTTATTTAAAATAAAAGTAAATTTTAAAACATTTATATGGAAATTTATTATATATCAAGTATTTATATTTCATAAAAAATATTAATTTTTGCAAGATAATGCTAAAAATATATTTTTTTTTTTCAAAAAAAAAAAATTAATAAGAAATGTATATACATTTCTATATATAATATATCTTAGTTAATTGAAACAAAAAATATAAAGTGGAAATTTATAGGAACTGAAAAAACCAATACAAATAATAAAATATAATAATAATAATAATAAATTTGATAAAAACAATTATATTTTAATAATATATCCATAAACAGAATATACAAGAAAATATTGTATTTTAACTGATTGACACCATTTTTCCTTTATTTTATTTCTGCTGCTATTTTGCTTGCAATTTCCCCAATTTTCTATATATATAGAACATGTATGCTATATAAAAACGTGTTTTGTATAAATATATCACGATTTCTCACGGCAAATCGGTTATGCATAAGCTATAATCAGTTTTCACTTAAATACATGACTTATATAATGAATCCATAACCAATTATTATGTACGAAATCAGACTATTTTTTGAGAAATGTTAGTGAAAAGTTAGACAATGTTAGAGAAATATAGAGAATATGTAGAGAAAATTCTGTGTTGATTTTGTATGTCATTGAAGATAATGGGAAAATAATAATAAATAATATCCGTACTTTAATACTTGAATACTCCCTCAATACATATATTTATTTTCAGATTAAGATTTAATACATGAAGTGAGAAAACCTTATATACTTTTCTCTTAAATTTATTGAAATTGGATAAGCTGCAAAACCTTATTAGAAACAGTCACGCGTCATTTCTTGTTGCTTGATTGGATAGCTATATAAAGAGGCTGAGAGCAAAAATACCAGAAGATTCTGCTGCGAGATCTGAATAAACTTAAGTTATATATCGTCTATGCATTCGTTGCAGGAGTAAAATGATAAGTCTAAAAGTATTTATGATTTTTATAGCTGTGTCAACAGTGGCTTTAGCCTTTAAACCCCCAGTAATATTCGATAAGGTAAGTTGATTTGACTCGACTTCTCAATATAATTTAATTAAATATAGACAAATAATTTAATTAAATATTTCGCAGATTTCCGATTACTTCTCAAATGATATATCAAACGAGTGTCGCCCGTGTCTATTTAAAGTGGGAATAAGAGAGAAGGCAAAGCTAAGATATCTCCAGAAGAAAGCCACATCGAGAGACAAGTTGATCGATGAATTGACCAGAGCTCTTAATAAGAACCAAATAACTGTTAGAGGAACTGAGGGGGAATCACTATCAGATATAAGAATCTGTTATAATCAAGTATCCAAAGCACAAAGTACACCGTTCCATAGAATAGAAACATCAATTCCCAAAGAGAGTGAAGATAAATATGAGCAAAAATCCAGACAAATCGTTAATGAGTTAGTGAAATGCCAGAACGATTTGAATGAGTTGTCACTACAAAATGTAGACATGTTGAGCATTCTACAACGAAATAACGAGAGTGTGGCAGCTTCAGTGGCTCGTCGCAGACAATGCGAGAGCGAGAGACTTGCACTTACCAATGAAAAATCAGCATATATCGAGCAGCTCTTAAGTAAAACATACGATATCTTTCAAAAAAGCGTAAGTCTGCAAGCGGTCCAACTCCCGCAAGAAAACAAAAATTTGGAGGAAACCAGCACTGAAGAATCCCTGGACGAACCATATGATGAAACGAAGAATATTTACAACGAATTGGTAGAAAAAAATATGAGACTCTTGAAAGTACTGGAAAATGAACCAGATGATACAGCTGAAACTGATGAGGACACAGATGAAGATGGAGATGAAGCTGCAGATAAAGACAATGAAGACGACTAAAATATTTCGACATATTTTGTAGTTGCACAATAAAACATTGCTTAACTAATCAAATTGTTATTAAAATGTGATTATCCAGCAAACTATTTGTGTTTCTTAATTTAATGTATGTTAAATAGAAATTGTGAACATATATGACAAAATCGAATCGAAGACAGATAAATATTATATTTATTATATTCTATTTAATTAATATTTTTATTTATTAATTCTAAATAAATTGCTGAAAAAATCTATGAATTTCAGAGCTGTTGTGAATTCCAAAAATCTTTTCTCTCGAATCTGCTCCTCCACAGATACCCCCATTATTTATTAATGCTGCCCTCTTGGATTTGAAAACTGAGTATTACGCAGTCGATCGTGCTCGACTGGCTTTTCTTTATTCCAGCTGTAATTAAAGCATCGCAGTAGCTGTCGAAGCTGAAAGGAAGGAAGCCTTAAGGCAGTCACAGATGGAGATGAAGACAGAGGCGGAGGCGCTCGGCTTTTAGCACAAGTAAGAAAGAAAGAAACTTTATTAATAAAAGTTTTGCCTTTGGTATTTTAGCCAAGTATCATTGAAAACTTTCATATATATAACGTTGGCAATTCACCATGCCCACACACACACACACACGCACACGCACACTACGCATATGGCGACGGCTGTTCACATGTTCATGCATTAAGTTGTGAGCTCGTTTTTATGCATGTGACAATATTTGTTGCACTTGTTATAGTTTTTACTTTTATTTCCTAAACTTTGTTGGTTTTTTTTTCCACAAAGAACGTGTTCCCCACTACGCGCATAATTGGTTCAAATGATAAAATTGTTAATATATTAAGCTTGCCTAAGACGTGACGTGGGCTCTTGAAGAACAAAATGGAAGCTTAAGTATGGAAATATTGGCTCGAGCGGGCTGGAGAAGTATATATAATATATATATAGGAGATATAAGTAGTATGTATATAAATATATATAAATATAATATATTTAGCTTCATGTCATACTTAATATTTGTGCATATGTTAGAAGAGTCTCTGCATCACTTTTTCTTAGTGTTCAAAAATAATCTACATATGCATCTAGCTATAGCAAGATTAACATCTACAGCTTTTTTAAGCCGTGAGATTAACACACTCGTACATACAGATAGACACGCTGATTCTGACTTTGAAATAGACTGCTCATAAAATACGGCTTAACCAAGCCTTGCAATAATTGTAAACGCGACTTCTATTAATCATTTCTCTACACATAAATCGATTATTACTGATTTCACTTTATATTACTCGTATGTTACTTTGAGTGTTATATAAGGTTAGTCAATTGCTTTCTCTTAACATAATTTGCATGCATATCTTTCGAGGTCTCAAAGAGCTATCTTCTTCTAATCAGTGACTCACAATCTTGCAGCTAAACTCAGCTCAGCCTCAAGGCAATTCAAAAGGCCAGAGGTATGCAGAAAGTATCTGTAGACCGCAAAAGCCAAGGCTCCAGCAAGTCCCCTTTTCCTCTGTGCTGACGATAAGTGGCCAAGGCAGCAAATGCCTCTCATCCTGGCCATGGCAGGCACTACAAATGCCGTTAGGCTTTGAGCCGGAGACCAAGAGCGAGAGAGCGCAGGCAAGATTATAGTCATGTTGTAGTTGTAGTAGCTCTCAAACTATTTGCACATTGAGTGCTTGCATATTAGCATGGAAAAGGGAATATCTAATGAGCTGCTGCGTACCGTCCATTAACAGGCAAAACGCATTTTCTCAAAGTTTAGTTCCATTAGAGTACACTCAGAGTTCAGATTCTTCTGCGACTACTATTTTTCTATTTACCAGACACTCACTTAGCTAGACAAACTAAAACAACTAATTAAAGTAAAGCAACAACAGCAGCAGCAATTTTGTTGACCAGTTAGGCGGAAGTAATTGCCGTTGTAAGTGCTCAAGATACAGATACATGCAGAGAAATGCAGATACAGATACATTTGCCAAGCAATCAGTGCTGCGACCACAGCTGGCGTCTTCGCTTTGACACATGAATATGCAAATATGAGACAATCATCTGACCCAGCATCCTCTCCTCTGTTCTCCCTACTTTCAGAGTTCGTTGTCCAGCTCTTGCTATTTATTTCGATTTGCTGCGCTGTTCATTAATTTGCAGGACTCTGTGAACCGAACATCGTTTTGGTCTTGGCTGACTTTGTTGCCCCTTAATTTATGGCAGCCATTTGGGCAAGCATCACCTGCTGCTCCTCTCCACTGTGTCGCCGGCATTAAATGGTGTGAATCTTTGCGCCGTCTCTGCATAAATTAGTTAACTTAACCCCTGACAGCTGCTTCATATTTGTTAATTGAAATTGAAAACGTAATGCTTGCTATAATCTCTATAGTTAGATTCCCGTACTATTTGCCCCTTTCATATATTTACATGATTATATTTGTAGAGTCCCACTAGCAAAATACTTAACTTATTAGTTTTTTCGTATTTTCATTACAATTAGTCACAATAAATACCCAACGCGAAATTTCTGTATATCTATGATTATTTATCTCGAATATCTATAATTATTAGCTCAATTGAGAAGTTTTCATTTTTCACTTTTAAATAACAGTTTCTATTGAAATTTAATTTTTTAGTTTGTCGGTCGTCATAAATTCTTATCTCTAATATTTTAGCTGATAATTGTTTTCTTTTTGAGTTTGCCATATTGTTGTTAAAAGACTTAGACTGATTCATAATGAAGCTATTTTGTTGCATGTGTGCGTAAATAAGACGAATTAATGTACTTAGAGTTAAGAATGATCTATAAGCCTTAGTCGCAACACCATCAAAGCCATCAATAAATCCTGATGGGCTTTATGGTCTGGACCAATGAGTCCGGTCCATATGTCCTTAAAAATAATATATAATAATGATGATCACGAAAATTGGCCCCAACTCACATCTTAATATTAATCTCTACAAATTTCCTCTCCAATAAAGCCCATTTCATTGATATGAATATATTTCTTTCAACTATTGAAAATCTAAAAAAATATGTAAGCATAAATATGCCGTCATATCTAGTAATTAAATGTGTAATCAGGAAATAGTTATTTGACTTTTATTGCCGCCTGCTTATTTATAAAAATGCTTCTTATTTCTGTATAAATATGTATGCTTATGCATTTGTAGCATTTCATACTGATGCTGATATGGGCCTTATCATGAGCTGTACGAATTTGAGTGTTTCTTCGAAGCCATGCCATTGCTGCCAGATGATGCCTTTGCCGCGTGTAGTGGAGCTAAGCTGCCTTTTCTTAAAGTACTTGCCATTCGGATTGCTAAATATAAAAAACGCAAGTTAATTATTTTGTAATAGACAGAAAGAGAGAGGTGGACACACTTACCAGAAAGCTGAGCAGGATGCATACCACCAGGCGCTGTTGTATCTGCGAGCACAGTTGCCCTCCTGCCAGCTATCGTTGTCTTTGTCCGCCGTCGAAAACTTTTGCAGGACATTCAGGGCCATCGAGTTGCCAGCGGTGCCCTCGTATCTGCCCAGGGAGTTCAGCTGGTAGAAACTCTGTTCGCTGCCAACGCTGAAATTATCATAGTGGGCATAGCGCACCTCGCCCTCAAAGTCCTCCAGGTACACGAAGAGCTCGAAGGGCTGCTGGGCGGTCAGCCGATGCAGCTTCTCCAAGCCAATGAAAAACTCGCCGTTGAGCGAGCCAAACCCAGTTCGATACTCGGTCCAATTGCGATAGAAATCCACGCTGCCATCCATGCGCCGCTGAATGACCAGCCAGCCGGAGCCAGCGAAGCGCGCATCGCACGGCACATAGAAGGTATCCATACCAGGCAGCTTGATCCTGTAGATGCCCGTGGCACTGCCAAAGGGCAAGCAGTTCTGCGGCAAGAACTCCTCCAGCTCTGAGTCGTAAGCCCTCAACTTGAGCTGTTCTGCGCGCAGCTTCAGCAAGTTATCATTGCTCTGCCTGCGTAGCTTTAGAATTTCATCATCTTTCGCTTTGAGCTGCAAATGTAACTCCGAGACTTGAGCCTGATCTTCCCTGTCGGCCAAACTAACTCTGCAGCTCGTCAAATTATACAGCAGTATTTCGCAGCTATCTTCGTTTTCCTTAAGTTTCTCTGCCGTTGCCTTTGCCTGCGCCTGGCAAGCACTGAGCTGGCTCCGCTGCTCTTTGATGTAAGTGTCACAAGGCGCCTCCGTTTGATCTATGCTTGCACTTCTAACCGCATTCCAGCTGGCTTCCAGCTGCAGCAGTTGTTCATTGTTTTGCAGTATCAACTTTTCTAGTTGATCTATTTTCACTTTGACTTCACTCTTCTCCGCGCTCACCACCACAACACACAGCCAAATATAGTATTTAAATATTGAATCATATGTGCTCATTTTGCTTATGCGTCACATACTAAAACTCCAAGCTTATATTGTTATAGAAATCGCATAGAATTTTCAGTATTTGGCAGCTAAGTGAGAGCGCAGCCTAAGAGAGTTCTAAAAACACTAAAACAACACTTTATGTGGCGCTATCAGCTAAATACACTGAGCAAAATGGCTGAACTCAACAGAAAAAAAATTTTATAAAAATTTATGAGAATAAATTTATGAGAATAAATAAATAATATATAGAAAAACATTTTGTAAATATTTAAAATGTTTTTATAGAATAATAAAAATTTATAATTATAAGCACACAATTTTCAGTAATATTTCATTAATATAATTATTTATTTGACACATATTTACAGAAAAATATTTTATCTCACGCTCTGAGTCCACTAAGGTCACCATAATCAAATCACATTTATAATTTAAATGGGTTTAACTTGTTTAGTCCTTGGGCCTTATCATCATGAGAACTGATTTCAGCGAATAGTCCGCATCATGAAATCGCTCGTCCACCCAAAAGATGCCTTGATTGACAGGATCAACGTCCAAATCAGCGTGCTTATAAACGCCATTTAAGTTGCTGAAACGATTCGAAATAAATATATTATATACAGAGACATATATATGCACTTAATATATGATTATATGAGCTATATGCTTATCGATTATTTCTAAACAATTGTGTTAGCATACCTAAAGCCGCAATGGTCGTACCACCAGGCGCCATGTAGGCGTTCGGCACAGTTATTGATCTCATCTGCATCGTTATCACGATCGTACGTGGTGAACTTTTGACCTGTGTTCACACGCATAGCATTCCTGGTGGTTCCCTTGTGCTTGCCCAGGGATAGCAGCGCGTACGCTTGCTGCTCGGAGGCCACCTTGAAGTCATCAAAGCTGGCATATTTTGAGATGTTGTTAAAGTCCTCCAGCCAGATATACAGCTGGTGGGGCGTGTCCTTAGTCATGTGATATAGTCGTTCTAACCCAATGAAAAACTCGCCCGACGGACTGCCGAATCCCTTCTTGTAGTCATTCCAGTTGCGATAGAAGTCGAGCTCTCCGTTGATCCGGCGCTGTATGACTGTCCAGCCATTGCCCGCCAGTTGGCTATTGCAAAGCACTTCGAAGGGCTCGTCCACACCGTCCACCTTAACCACGTGCACATTGTTGGAGGCGCCAAATGAAACGCAACTGGATGCCTTGCAGCAGCTCGAATAGCCCTCGACAATAGCATTCAAATTCTTAATATTCTCATTTCTTGAATCGAGCTGCGATTTCAGTTCAATAATCTGTTGATTTAGGGCCTCGATGGTTGCCGTGGATTGTATTGCGGTGGCCTGCAGTGCGCCTATTCGAATCCGGCTGTCGGTGAGTTCGGCTTGCTGGATCCCATTCACTTGATTTAGTTTCCGAACTTTAATCTGTTCAGTGTTTAATAACTTGGTTAACTCGTCTATTGCTAAGATTTGCTCTTCGACTTTAGTTTTCTGGTCACTCAATTCACTTTTCAATAGTCTATTTAGGCTGGTGATATTCACAATGGCTTCGTTGCTGTGGCTCAATTGGATCTGCGTGCTATTCAGAGTTTTCTCAAGGCTGCATAATTTCAGTTCTTTATTGCTTGACTCCAGCTCGCACTTATGTATCAAGTCGCTTTTGCTTAGAATTGTCTTTGAATGCTCAATAATTGTATTCTGTGAATGCGAGTTATTCAACTGCAAATTTCGGGTAAGTGCCTCGTATATATTTATCTGCAGCTTTCGATTTTCATTTATGGTCTTACACACGTCCTGATATTGTTTGAATTTACTTTGCATGTCTTGGCACTTTGTTGAGGCTGTGCCGTTAAGATCGTTTGTTAGCTTTACTCTCGATTGCCCAGAGCTTCCCATAAATAGCAGCACAAATGTCACGGAAACACAAATTAGACTCCGCATTTCATTCGATCTGTTCGAGCAGCTTGTTCCTCTCGCGGATTTGGCGCAACAATAAAAGCCACTTGAATTGCTTGTGAAATTTGTAAGCTTATATGTACTTAATCAATTTATATACAGTATATGCTACGTAAGCCAGCCGCATATTATTAATTAATGTAGAGCAAAAATTTACTTTAAATAACTTTTGCTCAATTTCAGCAATTTCTAATTTATTTAGGTGAAAAGCAAAAATAATGTACTATAAATATATGGAATAATTAGAATATTTAACATTGTGAAAAGTTATGTATGAAGTATGCGCTTAGGAAGGCTTTACTGTGGGCTGCCTTATCTGCAACGGCTGCAGGCTGCGGGCGCTTCGTATATGCTAAATACGCTTTTATTATATATATATATATATATATATATATATATATATATAACAAAAGCGTATTTAGCATATATATACACATAGGATTTGCTCCGAATGAACAGCTTAGCGCATATAGTGATAACAGCTCAGTGATACAAGTATATAAAAATTTAAAATATATATTTAATGCAATGTGGCTTTTATACGGAAATTCAAATTTAAAGATGACAATGAGTAACCAGGGCATATTGGTTTTGTGAAGCTGTATGTTACAGGCGTAGGAGGCGTGACAGATGTCAAAAAGTATACATAATCTTGGTCAGAAAGACTAGCAGATTCGACTTAGCAATGAATTCATCTGAAAAGCTACATCTATATTCCTGTATATCATACGTAGTATTAGTTAATCATTCTTCAGACAACTCAGCCAACTTTCTTATCATAAATAAAAACTAGAATTCGACTTCCTTTCTAAGCATAACTTGCATGACACATGAGTAGAAAAACTAAATTCGCTATGCTCTCTCTTGAAATAAATACACAGATCTTGTAGTTCCAGATGCAAATACATATATATTTATTATGGAAATGTACCCCTTTTTCTCCCAAATTCCCAAGAAACAAATTTTATATACAATAAACTTGCGCTTTGGCAAATGCACACATCTGAAAGCCATTTGGACGAAATTTTAGTCAGAAGTAATTCTTATAGGTGTTTATTTAGAATTGCATTCATCTCGTCATACGCAGTATATTTATTGTAGTTCACAATTTGAAAAAAGTCAAACGTATTTCAAGTGAATCCATTATCTATTTAATCATATTTCGTTTTATTTACTTTAATGACAAATTGATGCTTTAAGGGCTGCGCCAGCGACGCCCGCATCAATTAAATGGTTATATTTTATTAAAAGTCTCAAACAAAAGACGCAATCGCATTGCCATGGCAAATAGATGGTGCAACTGAGCGTATACGCAACGTGCAACAGTGAGCGAACAATTGAAGTGTGGGCGTGGCAGCCGTCCTCTGGGAGTTGCCATAACGCTGACGCAGCAGCCCCGCAGCCAAGTCGAGACGCGGCGACGCCTGCACTTCACAGACAAGTGCTGTTATGTGGCGAGAGGTAGGGGTGAGGGTGAGGGTGAGGGTGAGAAATGGAGGGGCGCCTAGACAACGCTGTTATTTATTCCGGATTTGTCTACCTTTTTTATTTATGTTTGGCAGACGCCAATTTTCATGGCGGCGGCAACGGCTTTGGCTTTGGCTCTAGCTCTGGCTATGGCTATCCAAAGGATGCAGCTGTTCAGTAGTTACCTGTGTGCAGGTGTGCAGGGGTTGACCACGTGATTCTGTGTGCCAGCCAAGTGGAAAATAAAAGAAATGCCAAGCAGCAGCCGACACGTTGTAAGCTCACCTTTGATTGTCTTAGCTCGGTCAGACTTGGCCAAGTAATGGAAACTGCCCTCAGTTAAGGGTTGAGTCCTTTGTAAGACAGAGAGAGAGAGAGAGAGAGATAGAGAGACTGAGTGAGAGTGAAGAAGTGAGATGGCAGCCCTTTGGCTGTGCTGTAAATATTTTAGCTGCAAAAATGCTTTTGGTTTCTGCCTTTGTCTTCTGTTGCTATTGCCTTGTCTCGGGCTGCAAATTATAACGTTACAATCTTAAATTGTTGTCATTTGGCCAGCATGCGCTTAAAGCCAACTATTTTTGATTAAAAAACTTTTTGGCCAGCCAAAACAAAACAAATTCAATAAGCGGCAGCCAGCAAAAATCAATAACATAAGCCGACAGCTGCCTCCACAGAAGTGGCGCGAACTAAGTAATCTAAGCCACAAAGCACAGCCGCAGTATGCGCGGAGTGGGTGGGGTGGTTGGCCGAGTGGTTGGAAAGAGGGGCACATAAATTCAAGATGTGGCCATAAGATTTATGACGATTGCGAACATGGAATTTCGACAGAGTCCACATAGACAAAAGTGGCCAAAAGAAAATGCCGCAACATTTGTGCGCGCCTCTGGCCTTTGAACTTCTTTCCGTGGATGGGCGAAAGGAGCTGCGGGGGGCGTGGCTGGACAACAATTTACAGTAGGCATATAAAATGTGCATAAAAATTGAAACTGCCGGCAGTCGCCCGAGGGCGTTAGCTTGGCAGTGGGGCAACGTGGCGTATACTTTACGCATTTTAAGTTTCAATTTCACAGCCGAATTTATGGGCATAAAAATGGCGGCATGGCCATTTTATGGCCACTTCCGCTGACCAAGAAGCACCAAAGCAGCAGAAACCCCTAAGTGATTTCTAACATAAAACGCATTAGATCCAGACGTCAGACAAATATGATAAATTCCTACTATGCTATACGACTGGCTTGATGGCTTGCTGAAAATCGAAATTTGTCGCGCTTTTATTTACTACTCCGCCACTTGATGACTGATGCTGTGTGATGCGAAATGCTGTCAGCTCATGGGTTATTTGCCCTCTCCTCCTTCCCACTTTCATGTCCTGCGCAATCAATTGTCAAAGTCGTTCGAGCCACGGTTTCATAATCCGGCTTATTATGCAAAGTAAATGCCCGCCCTCTCAGACATCAGATAATCTTGCTGATATTTCATTGTCGTCGTCGTCGTCGGAGCTTGTAAACGCTTTAACAGCCACGCCCCCCCCCCCCCCCCCCCTGCCGCTGACGACGCTTCTGCCCGTCGCGTTGTCTTGCGCCAATTGCGAAATATTTCCGTTTCCGGTTTGTTGCCGCTGTTGCACCCGGACCTGGACCCGGGCCCGCTTATAATGCCGGACAATTTGCTCAGATTTTTCTTTTACGATGTGGCTCGGCCATATTTTTTTATACATCCGCCACATATATGGAAATTCTCGAATTTATTATGCGCTTGTCCGATTGTCTCGCGCGTAATTTTCCAATTTCCATAAACGGTTTCAATTTCAGCATTTCCTTCAACTTTTTTGCCGCTGCTTGTGTTTTATCATCCTGTTGATGTGTCGGACGAAAGGGTTTCGCAATTCGGCAACGGGCTTCCCTTACGCCTCATTAACATATTAAATGGTTCCTTAAAGTTGATGAAGTATTAAATTATACGATTGTAGCAAAGACTATGCCACATTATGGACACGTTACATTTCATTTGTATTGCGAACAGCACTCACTGGGACACAGCCTCTAGATGCTCTTCAAAATTTCTCTACTTCAATTTGCATTTTTATTAATTTTGTGTTTTTGGTTTATTGAAAAAGTGAGATTGAGGCATTTGGTATTTCTTATGGAAAGTATTTGGAAATATGATTTGAAGTATAAAATGGTTTAGGAATTTATGATAGCTATGAAGTTTAGTAGTCAGGATAATCTAACAAGCGAGTTAAATATTTAAAAGGATTTGGTCGTGTGGAAATTATTTTTAAAAAACAAACTAAAATTCCTGATCTTCTCTTTGAAAGATCTCGAGGTTGAGCTGACAATTTGATTTATTTGCCACTCCACGATAGTCATAGATAATGATTTTAAATAAAGTCAACAACCTTATCAAATCCCTAAGTATTTTTGTTTTGTTTGTTTGTGGGAGATAATTAGAGCGGTTCGAAGGAACAGATGATTTTGGATCATAGATCACAAGCATTTCTCTTAGGTCTCTTTACTAGTTTTGTATATTGAAAATAGACGTAAATTACTCAGTTCATTCTTCAAAATGTGTACGTCAACACCTTGTTCATGACTTAAGATTTGCCTGAGGAATATACCTAAAATCTAAAATTAAAAGCAATCATTAGCCATACCTAGAGCCCTTAATGCTTGAAGAATTTCAATTCCTTTTGCTCACATTTAAGTCTCAAATCAGTCTTCCATTATTTTTAATATCGAAATATATTTAAATATCATTTATATATGATTCTTCTCTGTGAAATCCGCTGATGGCATATCTAATTATATATTTCTAACAAGATATTTGCATAACCTTTGAAAACTTTTAGCTTTAACATCATTTCGTGAAGTTGACGCATATTTTGCTTGGCAAATATGCTTCACAAGCCAAAAATCTGATGACACAACCGTCGCTCTTGATCGCCTGCTGTTCGTGCAGTGCATATTTAGCAGTTGTTGCCTGGCTCTCTATCTATGCAACTAAATGACTTCATTTTGTGTGCTCAGCCATGCAAATTCGCAACTGATTTTGTGCCCAAATCACATTGTTGGAAGGGGCAGAACGTATGGAATAATGCAGAAGAAAAAAAGAAACGATTTAAAAACTCTAAAATTAAGCTATCATCAGGTTTTACAGCGCCGTCTCTTTCACTCTTTATCTACCTCTCTTTCTCTCTCTCTCTCTGTCGCTCTCTCTGAGTATCGCTATAAGACATTCAAGTACAATATGGGTATAAAAAAGTCAAAAAGAAATAAGTGCAATGCAATGTCATTAAAGTAGACAAGCAGACAGCGACGATTGCGGAGCATGAACGGCGCCTGACGATGACTATGACCAACATAAAATCACAACACACTCACTCACACACGCACACATACCTACACATAGACACACGCACGCAGCGGATAGAAAGACACACGCCGTAACACAATCTGTAACCCAACCCGTATTCCTGTCTGTGGTTGCTTATCGGACGTTCTCTCTCTGCCTGTGTGTGTGTGGCTCGTCTGGAGCAGTGAGCTCTATCCCGTGATTGTGTCCTC